TGAGATTTGTATCGACGAGAAAAAGTGCAGAGCTCATAACATAGAAAATGGGGAAAACACGATGTTAGTTAGACATTCAGTAATTTTAATTTTTAAATTATCTGTTTTTTTTTCAAAACAGTTAAAAAAATAACTTAAATATGATTAATACTTAAATATATGCTCTATAATAAGTAAAATTCTAAAGTGGAAGATAAAATTTTAATTCCCTTATTTTGGAAGTACAATTTTTAAACTTTATTTGACCCAGCTTTTTATTGGAGTATCCAAAAAAATATATATGAAAATCTAAAAGTCCAAGAGCGTATTCATAAAATATGGGCTGAGAGGAATCTTCTTTAAAAATTATCTTCATATAAACTAATATATTATGTAAGATACTATTTGTTATATAACTATTTGTTATTATTATTACTATTATACCTAGTTGTAGTCTAGACAGTTTAGTATCCGAGAAACTAATAATTCTATGGTATATTATAGTCAACATCCTGTCTGTATAAAGAGTTGCCTATAGCCGGACCCTTAATAATGTAATATCTCTGTTCACGATAGACCTCAGCAAGACAGTGCACATGCTGCAGAGAAACGTATTCAACACTGATGTATGTAGGTATTTATGAATTTGAAAATAACACATGTGATTATAGTATTATAGTATTTAAGTAAATATGTTAAAGTGAAAAAATCAGATTCTCCAAAATGTCAGGCGAATGTCATTTTCTTCTTAGATGTACTAGTAGACATTCACTGGTGAGTATATTGACATTTTGTAAAATTAGATGTATGACATTATTGTATTTTATATTAAATTACTATTGTTGCAATAGAATTATAACTCAAAAAGATAATAGCTAGAAATTAACCACATTGATGGAGCAACAATTGATATAATTATCATAATAAATTATTATGAAAATCAAAATTACTAGGCATCATTTAAAAATTATTAAAGTTTTTATTTTTGTAGTCTCAAGTTAAATATCATTAGGTTTGATAAATCGTATTATTAACAAAATGACTTAAGTATTTCAATATCAGGTATATTGACTTTTGCCATTTTAGGGGTAAATAGAAACACAGTCGTGATGGGTCATAATTCTCATAGTGCTGAAAATTCTAACATTCACCAAAACTCAATTGTGAATGTCAACACTCACCCATAATCATTGTGAATATTGACACTAATCGGTGACTGTTAGATTATTTTTAATATTCACTCAAAATCAAAATGTTGATATTCACCAAAAACAGCAGTGAATGTCAACATTCACCGATGTGTGTCGATAATCTCCAAATGTCAATATTCTCCTTAAAATATAATACATACAATCCATTCGCTACTCTGTGCGTCTGTGTCATTTTAATGTAATTTTCATATTTTTTCCCGAACTCGAAGTCCAAGAACTGGGCCCTGCTCGTCCACCTAAGGACAATCTAGGTCAAATCGATTTTAAACGGACTGTTTTTCGTGTTAAATTCTAATAAGGCTTACTTTCATTCCAACGTACTAATCGATCTAAATGATCTAATGTTATAGATAAATGTGGTAAAAAAAAAAATGTTTGCCTTCCTCGTATTGTCTTCCTTATTGACGCTACGAACGTTTTTACACAAATATGAGCATAGGGCCTACACTATTATTATAATTTAACTTTGATAATGAAAAAATGTTCAATACATATTTGTATATTCAACAATAAATTACGGTCAAATTCGTTTTCAATAGGTACCCAAATCATATCCGTATGAAATGGAATGAAAATTCATCAATTTAGCAGTGAAATATAACACGCGGTTTATTGTATAAATATGATAGTAATAATTATTATTATTATAGAGTTACACGCGAAATATCAAATTTTTTAACGCGTGCGTGCGCGTTCCAGATCAAGTAACCAAATCACAACACACAAATGATCATTTACACCACACACACTACCACGAACAGCCAGCGCGATATCATATTATTATTGTTGCCTATATTAAACTCTATACGAGTATACAAACTGTAAGTTTCGAATTCCCTTAAAAAAAAAAAAAACAAGGAAGTGGCTGGCCGACCCATGCCGCCTCAATATCGAGAATATCGAGGTGTCATATTTAAAGGTGTACGGAAAAAGAATTTGGTTGTACTAAATAATTGGATCATTTTCAGTTGAATTAACAATTTATTCAGTTGTGTCAAACAATGTGTTTAGTCGAGAGTACTAAAAAATGAACTAGTTAAAAAGTTATAGTTGCACCAATTTATTTTAATTTTATGACTATATGAAATTGTATCCCAAATTCAACAATAGAAAATGGTTAGTACCAATATTGAATAGTTACAGCTACTATAATCAATGTTCAAATAATGTCAACTACCTGTCTATGTATATACTATATAATATAGTCATGTCAACCATGCAATTTAGCACAAGTATAGTACAACAGTTGAATATCCAAGGCCGTACGTTTGAAACGGGCTGACCACCGAAATTTTCTAGGATTACCTTTACTTAGAAAGCGAGTACAGCCTTGTCACTACCTAAATAATATTGAAATGAGTTTTAGTGTGCTCGTACATTCACAGAGGGTTGGAACTAATGAAAATTAGCATGTGGCTTTCTAAACGTATATACATACTTATGTTTATAATTTTTTTTAATACAACGATCGTGTTGTAGACATAAATTGTAACAGTGTCGTTTTCGTACCGCCAATAATTTATATCAATGGGATATTTAAGGATGAACTTTTCAATTAGAAAAAAAAACATAGGCCAAATCACAAAAATGTTTGAACAGAAATAAAGCGACCTGCGTGTCTACTGCCTACGTGCGACTTGCGTGCAAAGCTATTAAGATATCATTATTAAGGTATATTATAGTAATGGTGCAGTACACTAAACTACCAAAGTCGAAAGTTGGCGTCAATTCTAAAAAAAAAAGAGGAGAACAAAAAAAATGTTACAGGTCCAACGAGGATGGGAGTGACCGAGAGAAAGACGGCTACCTATACGGGTTTCCTCGTGAATGCAGTTATCATACTTATAGTGATGTAATTCATAAAATAATAAACTTATTCGGCTGTTCACGAAAGAAACCTACAGCCGTGTTTAAATTTTAATCTATAGAGATTTTTACAATATCTAAGCGAGTTAATTGGTGATTTTTTCTTTAAATTCAGGCTACGTGAAATACTAAAATTAACAAAAGAATATAGTAGGTTATTATTTTCACAATAGAAATATTTTTTCGTCATATAGGTAAATAATAATTGCATTAATATAATAATACCATTTAAGTATTTTTCGCAAGACTATAATAAGTATGAAAAAATATAAGTATAGGTACCTATAAAACAAAATACGCGTTTCTTCGAGTATGCAACTCTAATGACGTTTCTAAAATTGAATTCGAATAAAATAAACCAAGTTTTGGTACAATAAGAACCCAAATATCGACAATTTTCAAGACTTTATTTACTTTAATAGCCTGCACTGTTTCTGCACGACTGACACTGTACACTAATAGTACAGCTAAAATGTATTATATACACCGTCGCCGAACTGTTGTTACAATACAAGCGTGCTTATTATTATCATTGTTATTATTATTATTATTATTATTTTAAGCACCTACCGGCTACCATGAAAAAAATAGTAAAATATTGAATCGGATCGACGTTGTTGGGCAATACAGGATTATAGCAGGTAGGTCTTGGCGTATGTTATTATTTGTTATGTAAGATTATAGTATTAAATTTTAAATATGAAAAAAATAATTAGACAGTCATTTCATTCAAAATATTTCGTTCAGTTGTTCAGTATAATTATTTCAATGTTAAATTAAAATTTTGTTTAAAATTATTAACGAGGGGGTGTGGGGGCGTAGTCTCCACCCCCGCGGCTTTGGTTCATAAAAAAAAATTGCAGCCCCCCCACATTTTTCGATGGATATCCGCCAATGACGCCAAGTATGGCCAATCCCCTTTTTACCCGTTAGTCTTTAATGCATTCGTTCAAATCATGATTTTTTAAAGGTATCTATCCTTGTTCGTCCATAACTTACTACTCTTTGTGTTTTTTATGTTCAGAATTTTTATAATATTAAAACAGTGTCATGTGGCGGTGCAAACTTTATCTTTTCAAATTGATACCATCCTTTTATACTGTAAATGGTTAAGATCTTTGTTGAACATGTTGATAAATCAAAATTTGAACTAGTAGTTTCTGAAATGATTAAACCTTATGCAATCAGGACAATAATTCTTAATAGTGGTTTCACACATGAAGTATAAATTAGATGTAATATTTAGTCAAATATACCTAGGTACCTATTTTTCATGCTCTGAGAATTTTAGATTTTTGCAATGATAAAATAATAGGTAAATTAATAGGTATACCTATATCAGTATTAGCTAAAATTCCTTTAATTTTCAAATTACCACAGCCTAGGTATCTTTTATTCTTAAAGTTTAATAACTCAGAAACCAAGTTAAAATTGAAAATAATAATAGGTATTATAATATGCTTTAAAATTTACAACAAAAATGATGGGTTTCCTTTGAATAAAAGAAGTTGGTTTCGACACAGCACTTCATAATATAGCTCTCTAACTCCTAGCTCTGTAGGCGAGTCTCACGAAACCCTTAAATAGTGTAACAAATACATGATTGATGGTCTAAATAAAATTCAAAAAATTATAATTTTAATAAATTCGTTATTGCATGCTTGGTGAATCACTCTGTATATATCAATAATAATATACCTATGTATATATATATAAGATAAATTGGTGTATATACGTTACCTACGGGTACACATCACACACACAATAACGGCCTAACGGGCAAAATACATACAATTTATTGTAATAGGTATAATAAAATAATAGTGTCACCTTGGCAACAAACCACCGCCAAATGCATTCGCCCATTCCTTTGGCGAACCACAAAAGCCGCGACTCGCGACATTATAATAATAATCGTCGTCGTCGTCATCGCTGTTTTCGTATATAGGTCGGTAGTGTATAAGATATTATATGTATATGTTATTATAGGTATACTGTCATCGTGATTATACGCACTTGCGCAAGTCTCCGATAGTAATAATAGTAATAATAAAATGCTCAATAGGCATTTCACAGCTTATAAACTTTATACAATAATTTATCAAGTAAATATTATAACGTTATTATGTCAAATTAGATAGATTGAGCGATGGACAAGGAGCAGTTTCAGCCGGTACGTGCGACTAGATTGTACCTATATCAAATATTATTATTGCGTGATTTATCGGTGAAGTATTGCTTAGAATGTCGTGGGTAGTTAAACGGTGAACACCTTGTAATAAAGTTTAAAAAAATTGTATGACTCGAAATAAATATTTTCTTGAGCACATGTTATGTACAACTGTACAAGTAGTACAAGGTAGTTTGTCAGTTTTTTTTAGATATACTTATTTTGGGTGGGTAATAAAATTCCTAAAAAATTCATGATAACCGTAGTTGGGGAAAATAAAATGTAATTAAAAATTTGCACATTGCACACATTATTATTTTTATAAGCGCAGATATATATATATTAGCTATGCGCCTATGCCTATATGTATAACAATTTGGTATACTTACCAATACTCATAGACCATAGTCATAATAGTCATAGGTCACACACATGCCATGTATTTATTTAATAGTGATTAAATATGAAATAACATAGTTAAGTACTAATAAGTAATAGTATATGTATTATTCATAGGTTAATTAAAAACCCCTTTTGGACAAAAGTATATAGGTACTATGCACAAATTTGAACAACATTTTTTCGGTCAGCTCAATTTCATATTGAGGTGTTTTTATATATTATGCAAAACGTGTTATTTCTAAACACTGGGGTTTTCCAGGAATAGTGAGTTTCTGTAATAAACGACCCAGACAAATCATGAAATATGTGTAGGTAACGTTTAAAAATGAAATTATTTATTATGAGTAAAAGAAAATGTTTGAGAAGTAAAAAATAATAAATTATTTTATCACATTTTAAAGGTTTTTTTTGTTTTGATCTGCTTCAAAAAGCGCCATCTCCGGAAATATTAAGTTTTGAAAAATATATAGTTATAATTCGTTTTGTAAATTTATTTTGCAATAAGTATTATTCCTATAATTTTAAAATATTACAATGCAATTTTGTTTTATATTTTTGTCTATACTTGTCATAAAATAACATTTTAAAATATATAATACAGGCACATAGAAAATATTTATTTATATTAAACTCGATGACACAACAAAACAGCTTATTATTGTTAAATTTAAATTATTTTAGTATAATAGGAACAGATTCATAGTTCATGAGGTCATTCTAAATATATTATAATAGTGTTATACACTTATACCAGAGATGCCCAACCTTTTTTCCTCGGCCGGCCCTTTAGTAAATAATTATCTTCGAACATAAAATATCTTCAAATATAAAAGTACGAATAATCTTAATCTAATAATAATAGGTGTGATTTTTTTATACATAAAAGGTATCTACACTATAATATGCAATGTGTATGTACACATTGGACTTGTTTTCTTATCTTTTATTGACAATTGAAAAGACTAAAAATTAAGAAGGTTAGGTAATAATTTTACTTTTTTTTAGTATTTTGTTTTACTTAAAAATTTGTAACGGGCTGTGGATGTGTAAACAACCTTCGAGGGCTACATAACATGTGGCCCGCAGGCCTTGGGTAGGGCACCGCTTGTGTATAGGTAACTATAAAATATTAATATAATAATATATTGTATATACCTACCAAATATCAATTAATATTAAAATAGCAAAAAATATATAAATTAATGAATATATTTACTTGAAATAAAAACTTCACTAATATTATATACCTAATAAATGTAATAATATAGTATATACTATACATTAATCATTAAATTTTAATACTGAGTTAACGAAAAAAAAAATGTAAAAACTACTGAGTAAAGTAAAATGGGGTGACTCAAGATAGATTAGAACATTTAAAAAAAATGTACAATCAATATTTTGTTTCTAAAATACGAAAATAATGTACCTATCCTTCTCAAAGTATGTTGAAATCTTACAACATAAGAATAAGCATTAAGATCAAAGTTTATTTTTGTCCCGAGCGGCCCTCAAAATGAGGTGACTTCGGTAACGTATTAGACTTCATTAAAAATGAAAGTTATAATTTACAACGGGTGACTTTTAAGAAAAAAAAATAAAAAGAACCCCACTTTTCTTGTAAATCATTTATTGAATATTTAAAAAAAAAAATTTTTTTACTTTTCTATAAAAATGTCTTTTTTTCATGATTTATGTATGGTTCCTTTAAGAAAAAAATTTTTTTTTTAAGACTATTTTTGTAGAACAAATTTAAGTAAATAATAAAATGTACACAATCAAATGTAGGTAGGTATAGGTATATTAAAAGTACTCACAGAGTTGTTTGTTGCTTTACCTGTCATAAGCTTGGCTCACATAGATCACCCTTATACTATCACCATACATGCCTTCCAATACTTAATTGTACACAATAAAACTTAAAATGACTTATGAGTTAATATTATACACGACAAGATAGAATTAAACTTTTAAGTAGGTATATTTTTTTTGGAAATTTGGGTTTTTGAATATTAACTCGGTAACACAGCTTTTATAGTACCATCACAAAGAAGCCAAGAGCAGTTATAATGTGCTTTGGCGGGAAATTACAACCATAGGTATATTCATATAGATAGGCTTATTACATAACTTTTTTTACTAATTTCATATTATATTTCTATTTATAATTGTTGGTTTTGTAATAAACTACATCATATTATTTAAATACGAATTAATGGAATAATTTTGTTATTATTACTAACGGTATTGGCATAAGCATATCTTTTTAATTGCTTTATAGCCATAACATCGGTAATAACTACACGTTTTGGTGTGAAATGAAAACAACACGTTATGAATAAAATAATAATGGATATAATACGTTTTGGAAAAATATGAGAAGTGTGACTTATGATTTAGTACAGGAAACAGCACGTTCTAAAGGAATATAGAATTACGTTTTGGAAAAAAAAGCAATAGGTTAAGCTTTATTTCAGTTGGGATACAGTATGTTTTGACAAGAAATCACAGTTTTAATCGATTTTCCACCGTTTTTTCCATAAGAATCGATGTATAACTCAATTTTATCGAAAATGGAGATAGCACGTTTTGCATAGGAACACATCAATTATTCTTGGAGAAAGAGTCTGCTGAACAAATGTTTGCCAAACAGACCAGTTAGGGGAGGATCCCTGTAGGGCGCACGATTGCCTATTTTTAATGGCCTGAACGGTTATTTTTACATTTTAGAAGATTTTTTATGTAGCATTTGAATGATGTTTGATATATAGACAAACTGTCATATTAGGTACTCATATTACTCAGGGAAGGTTAGGTTAACCATTTGTGTGAACAACCACTCATCATAACTGGATTTGTATTGCATTGATGTATTTTAAGTGTTTAGCCCCTAAATAATTTTACCTGATTTCCAACAACACATTTTTGTCAGTAATACTGCCTAAATTACACCCCTTAAAATTCAATCTTCCTCATACCTACAAGTTAAAATTGTATTATTAAATAGATACTTATATAAAAAAGTACCATGAATAAGTATCTTGAATTGGCTTTAAATGCTGTGGAGATTTATAATGATTAAAATATAAGCAACGTGTTCTTTCGTAGTCAACGTACATGTGTACAGTAAATAGTAAAAAATCGATATATTGGGCTTTAACATATTTTGTAAATCACAATATAAGGAAAAGGTATGATTAAATTTTACAAATTATTGACTGGTATAATGTCTATTTTTATTTCTTTTTAAATACGACATTTTATTTATAAACTACATTATTTACTCAAATTTATGGCTTTTTCCCAGTAGATTGTATACAATTTGAATTGTTAATTTTCAGATTATAACTACAGTGTACCCTCGATTATCCGCGGAATAGGGTGGCAGGACATCCAGGGATAAACAAATTCCACAAAATTAAATAAATAATACAAAATAAATTGGAAATTGAAATTATTTATATGTACATACATAATATGTATTAATATTAAGTAAGCATATTGTATTTTAAGTAGTTATCGATTAATCGGCTATCACAAATTATCACCAAATTAAAACATTTTAAAACATTGATTAATAATGTAAATATATACATTTTCGTATACATATAGGTGTGTAGATGATCCCGTGGAAGACAGCGGATAATCGAGAGTACACTGTATCTGAAAAGCTGTTTTGGAATATTTCTCTTTTTATCGGTTATTAATTTCAAAATCTATAAAATCCAATACCACTGTATTACTCATAACCCATATTGAAATGGCACAAAGAACATAAATATATATTAGAAACTGAAAAAAAAAATTAAACATTCAACAAATGTGCAAGTAAACTCAATTTCTACACATAAATATTGCAAGCATCAGACGTGTCAATTTGTATCTTCTCATCTTGTACATATTCACAAGGTTGCAGGGTATTAACGAGTTAAAAGATTAAAGTTAATTTACATAACAAGTTACTTTTTTTTTTAGAAGTAACTTCTAACTTAAGAAGTTCATTTTTTTCCGTGTTATACATTTAACTTATGAGTTAGTTAATTTTATGGTTTTGGTTAAGTTATTTGTTTCCTAAAACCACAGATTTAAAATATATTCACTTGTGTAAAAATTAATTTTATAAAAACAAAGTAATAATAATCAGAAGTAGGTATCAAAAGTTATTTATAATAATATACTAAAATTTAATTTCGTAATAATAATAATTGTTTTACGTAGTTGTGGACAATTAGGTAAACAAATATGTAAAAAAAACTTTTAGTTGAAATTCGTCATTAATTTAATTATCAAGGTATAAAACTTACAGTAATTAATTTTAATACATAAGCTTATTTAAAACTGTAAGACATTTATTAAATTATTATGTTATTAGTTAGCTTTATTAAAGGCATAATTTTAAAATTTATATGAAAAAAAAGAAACTTTTAAAATTAAGTTAAGTTACTTTTTTTTCTAATTAATTTGTAACTTTTACAAGTAATAAAAAAAGCTTAAATTTTACCATATTAACTTAACGAGTTAAAAAAAAATAGTCATCTTGTCCAACCTTGGATTTTTAAATAATAAACACAATAATGTTGCAGCCAAAAAAACCCTGTACAGAACTGCACAAGAAACACACAGTGGCCAGTGAACACAGATGTGTGCAATGGGTGCCCCAGGTGGATGTGGTTAACGACAGTCTAGACACAGCTTTGTTGTCTGTTTACAGCCATTCGGGGCTGACGTTCCCCAGGACCAACGAAGTGTGCATGCAAAAAGAAACCTTTATACAGTGTTTGAAGTGAGACAATTATCTGACAATACCTATTATATTATGTAAATATGTAATAATAATCCAGAGAGCGCATTTTAACATTAGGCATACAAAAGTAAGAAAAATGATGGAAATTATTTTTTAGTGGAAATATTTTAAAAATTATTAATTTATATTTTTATATACCTATTCTTCAACTATTCTTTGTAAAAAAAAATGCATCTAACTAACTGTTGTTAAAAAAGTGCGTGTTGCAAGTATTTTTGATGAAGTGAAACTTCTTTGTAGAGGGTAAGCAATGAAAAAAAGAACCCGAAACGGTCGGCATCATGGTCGAATATTAAGTTTGTATTATGATAAAATAAAATAATAAAACGTCAAGTTGAAATTAATTTATGATTGTTATTACAAAAAGGAAAGCCAAATATTATTATATTTTATTAAAATAGTGGCAATTATCTTTTTTTTTTGATTTTGTACACTTTGTAAAGATGATTTACTTCAATAATACTAGTATTATACATTATTATGCTGCAGTAAGTATTTACCGAAATCATGACAAAATGTGTGATAAATTTTTTAACTTGCAGCTAAAACTATAGAGTTTTCAAAACAGAATATTGAATGATTTAGGTATATGTTTAAGATGAATATCTTTACATATACAATTCAGAAATATACTATATCCTAGTATACTAACTTACCAGAGAAAAGCACAATTTTTAAAGAAAGCGGATACTATAACTTTTCTATATACTAATTAATTATTTAACTAATGCATACAATTATAATTTTACATGTGCCTCCAAACTGTTTAAAATTCTGATGAAGGTTTAATTAATATATTATAAGAAACCTAACTGTAGTATCTTTTCCGTCAATAATAAATATGGAAAAACCAGTTAAACTCTTAAATACATTAAACAAATTATAGAGATAAAGAATACAATGTCCTTAGTGCATACTTATAAGTCAAGTCAGTTTTATATAGGTTAAAAGTTTCCAAAATGCATTATAATGTATAACTAATAGATACATTTTTTGGTAAAAGGAAACAAATGAATAATATTCGATCAGACCATAAAGTGGAAAAGCTATTTAGAAATCATCCATTGAAAATGGGTGGCCTAATTGGTGAACGAAAAGACATAAATAGTATTAAACTTGGATTAGTTGGTAGTCATATATCACAAACTAACCATGGATATTCAAGAAAAGAAGATGGTACTTTTTACAATTATTAAAGTACAATAAGGTTGGTGTAATATTAACAATGATGATACCATCATACCACACAATATCTAATAATCAAAATATATTGACATTTTCAGATAAGCATTTGAAAGGATCTTTTCAACTTATTCATTGATTTCTAAAATTATACTAAGAAATAAGTAATACTGTTGATAATAATATAATTCTATATCTGAAATTTAATATAAATTACTTAATATTATATTATGACATATATAGTTAAAAATAAATAGTAATACATTCAATTTTGGAGATTAAAAACATATATTTAAGTATACTCCAATACATAAAATTATTATTATTTTTTTAAATATACAATTTGTTAATGAAAACAAATGTATAGGTATATTATTATTATTATATAATTCAATTTTCCATTGGTTTTATCTATGGCGTTAAAATATAATCATAATATTATAAATATTCATATATTTAATTTCTAAATAAAATAGACAAAAATAAATATTAAACACAATGTCTGTATATATTATATAAAATAGATATTGAATAATTACTTTAGTAGCTATAGTGGCAGAGCTTAGTAAACACAATATTACTCTGCAATAAAAATAAACTTACACATTGTAAAATATCAATCATCCAGAATAAGGACGGCAAGATAAGTTAGGATGATAAAATATTCAATAAATAATTTGATTTTAGCTAAACTGTTTTTAAATATATTATCAGATGTAACATAAAAAACAGTAATAATTAAACAGATGAGGTAGGTACATCATAAACATATTGGATGATTGATATTTTATTTTTTTTAAGTATGAGAAAAGAAAATGTTTTTAATTATACAATAAAATTTAATATAATTGATTACAAATCTAGTATTTTAAATTGTATCTGATTATTATACTGAATATTACCCATCTTTAGTACAGTAAAAACTTGTACATACACTTAATGATTGAATTTTCAGTATTTTTACAATGCTTATTTGAAAAAGTATAACATAAAACAATAATAAAAATCCAACAATTAAATCTATGTATGCACAGTGAAAAATTAACCATAACTGGAGATAAGAAAAAAAGGAACATGTAGCAGGTACTAAGCATTTAGTGTTTGTTTCACATAACTAGATAGGTAGTTTCTCATATTAAATTATTTTTTTTAAATGTTATGATGGAATAAAATTATTTCGTGAAACATATATATAAAATTTAAGTCAAACAACAACACTTTTGATAATAAATACAGTATAAATATATTATAATTACATCAGATAGCTCAATTGAAATAAATGTGTACATATTATATCCATACATGATATTGGTTGATACAACTTTTCAATTAAGCTACCACTTATAACATTTATATTTTCAACCCATTATACATGGTTTTTACTGCAGATGTTTTCAATACTAAACTATATAATTGGCCTGACTTTAATTACTCAACCAGGATTGTCAGTGAATATAATGATAAAAAATAAACAGCATTTTAAAACTTAAATGAGTAACACTTATTATAAACACCTTAAATAAATGATTTTAAAACTTATATATATATATATTATATACAAGTATTTCATAAATTTAAAATACTAATTTTGAAAGTTATATGCTAGACAGGACAATAATATATTATTGTCATCACGAATTAAGATTAATCCTTCAATTTTGCTTTACTTGAGATTTTATGTATTCAATTGCAGTCAAAACTAAGTGTATCAAGTTTAAATCAAGTTAAAGGTAAAGTTATAATTTGCATATTCTTAAAAAACTCGCTTTATTGTTATATTCATGAAATTCAATAATAAATTAATACTACTGTATAGTTTAAAGCAGCATTTCCCAAACCATGGGTCGTGAAATCTTTTTGATGGGTCGCAACTCACAGTTAAAATTACTGTTATTTTTAGCTGTAAATTAATACCTCTATATTGTATAATAATAATGTGAAGTCCAATTAGTATTGTAGAATGTATTACATATTTTTAGTAATCTTTACATTATTTTTTTACGATTATGGAATATTTGTTATCTTATCGGAGAGTATGATAAAATTGGTTATAGTAAAAATAGTATTAATTTATGCCATACTTGATTATTTTACTAGTGGCAGGTCGCGTACCAAATAAATATTAAATTTATGGGTCGCCATTGCAAAAAGTTAGGGAAACACTGGTTTAAAGTATTTAAGATTCCTATGCACATTTAAATTATCAACAGTTAAATTTTGAACATTAAAATATAATATTTGATGTACAATTTACTGCTCAGAATACCATTTAGAATTATTTAGATAAAATATTTAATATTACTCATCAAGTAATAAAATGAATCATGGAATAAAAATGTGATATTAATTTATTCTTAATTCGTGAGACGTAGTAATTCATGTAATTTCAAATGGTAAAAAAAATATTTATCGAGTCTGTTTGAATACAACAATTTATGAATAAAAGATATTAAAAATATTTTTATAAAGGCAAACAATTTAAACCATATTAAGTTTAATTTCTAGATGTTTTAAACTAAATTATATTTTTCACCTATATCTGTATAAATAGTCAACTCAAATACAACTGAAATTACATAATAATATTTGACACAAATATTTGTAGATTATAATAACTTTTGAAAATCATAGAACTAATATACAGATAAAGCAATTTGTAACATAACACCAATAATTTAGTTATAACTATACTATAACTTCATTAACATCAAAATATTAGATGACAAGTAAATCCTAAAATTTTTAATACAATAATGCTGAACATGATAAACATAACTCAGTAAAATTGATTTTTATGCTTTTTTCAAAAATTGAGAGTGAAATGTTTAAGAATAGTTTAAGTGAAAGGAGAAAAAATAAAAATAAATTTAAAATCATTATTTACAAATGCTTTATGGTTTTTACATCCATATCATTTAGACTTATTTTTTTTCTAACTATTTAATCGGCATATTTATAAATTAAAGTTTGAATGTTATTTTTAAAAAAGCAAAATTAAATTGCTTAGTTTAGACCTAATGGTTCCTAAAATAATCGGGGATTGCAAAATTAAAAGCCATTTAAGTATTTTAAATGTTAACTTTATGCCTAGTATTTTATAAATATCTAAAAAGTTTATTTTGGTTTATGGCATAAAGAAATAAATATATCATAAGCATTATTATAATTTTTACCTACACAAAATGTTTTATAGATGTATATATATATTTTTTTTTTTAATGACTAAGATTTACACTCAAAATAAAGTTATGTATATCTATTTCATACATATTTTGAACAATTTTTAAATGAATATTAGGTATTTAATGAGGAGGTTATACAGAAATGTTAAAGGACAAGACTTTCAAAATATTTTTATTCAGATCACATTTAGAGCTAAGCATATTAATTTAAGATAGGATAATAAAATCTATATGCAATGGCTCTTATTAAATTAAGTTGGTTAGTTTGACTATTTATTTTATATGGTAAATATTATTACTTAATATGGATACTATGTACTTATAAATATTACATTTTAGGTAATATTTCGCACATAAAAATAAATAAATGTTACTATATACTAATTAATAAGTACATAGTATTAATTAAGTTATAAAAAAGGAATGTCTAAACCTATAATATTAACAAGAATTAAACCAAATAGGAATATTAAATATTTGTTTAATTTATAAGTCTATTATTTAAAATATTGTTAAATTAAATAAATCAAATATAGAAAAAAACATTTAAGTTTAACTCATTTTAACATCTCCATTCATACTTTTTCAGTAGATTTTATAGATATAGAAAGAATTATTCATTTAAATTAAAGATCAGATCTTCAAGTTAAAATTAAAAATTAACTGTTGAATGTTCTTTTAAATGATTTTTCCAATAAACAAATTTAAGAAATTTAAACAAAAATATAGAATGTATAGAATAAGTACCTTGTTCTCAACCGGTGTGTGGTACAGACGTACAGTACTGTTTGAGTGTTATTAATGAAAAAAAGGTTGAGAACTTTCAACTTTATCATTAGGATATCAAATATTTGATTTTATTGTAATTTAAACAAATATATATTAATCTATTTTTGTTTTAAAGCTTTTGAGGAACTCATTATACTAATAAACTTATTACAAATTGTGTAATAATAGCTTTGAAAAAAGAATGTAGTTAAAGAAATTTGAATTGTATTATGTAAAGCTGTTCGGAATATTTTTAATACTTGAATAACATTTTGGAAATACGCTATTTAAAATTCAGTCTTTTCTTTGTCCGAAATATTATAAATCTATATGAATGCAAATAGTTTAATTAAAATTTAGGTCATATATGGATTAAAATAAAATTTTAAATACCACTTAACTATTATAACTTCTTATCTTAAATTATTTTTTTTAAAATTAAAATTCTAACTTATACTTTAAATATTAATTTAATATTTAAGATACTATATATATGTTAGTTATATAATGCTCTAAGATCAACTTTGTATTTTATGCAAACCTGTATCACCATGTCTGAAATTAAAATATCATTGTGATGAAAACTTAAGTTAATCTGATATTTGAGAATAACTATTATTGAAGTATCTATTTCCAAATGTAACTTGAATGGGTAATTATACATTATCTGTGGATTTCTCAAACGGTTTCCAAGTGTCAGGCATTATGTAATCATGAAGAACTATTACATTGTATTAAGTTTGACGATATAACACAATTTTTGAATGAATTATTAATTCTCAATCTGGAAAAGGGAAGCAAAATAGTCGCTATAGTTTAATATTTCATGGCTTATAAGTGTACCTGAAGGGGTGCACTGAATGTTAGTTAGTGTTAGTGTTAGTGTTAGTATTACTACAAGCATTATTTGTTGCTTTTTTTCGTACTTGTCTTTTGCGATCAGCATAAATTAAACACTTCATTTGTGCTTTATTTTCAGCAGCGTTCAAGCTATCCTCACTATCATCATGACTATGTTCTGGAAACATACTTGTATCAAAATCACTATCTTGATCTTCTTCCGACTCCCAATGTTGCCACTGCCTGTAATTTAAATAATAATAAAATATTATGTTAATTTAAAATAAAATAAAATTATTGACATTTAGGTTAGATTTTAAATATTTTTTAGTAGGCATTCTTAAATTTCTTACATCAAAAATATTCAAATTTTTTCTGAAATTTTTTAATTTAATGTATGAATAACATATTACAATAAGCTGTAATTGGCTAACTCATAATGAATAACTAATAGCCTATAATTGTATAAACACATGATAATTCAAAAATAATACTAAAAAATATTCTCTGAAAAACATTAAGTAAATACCTATACATTAAATTAATTATTTATTTAATTATTCCAGTGGTTCCTAACCTTTTCGGTACTACGGACCACTATGAGAACTTTCGATACGTCACGGACCACCTCAATTATATACCTTATTTTTCTTACAAATAAGAATCAATTTTTTTTTTACATATTTTAGAATTTTGATAATTATTACATGAATAAGAGGCTTTTAATAACATGGGTTTCACTATGTAATATAAATTTATAAATAAATGACGTACTATATACGATTGTCAATAATTAGTGTTATACCTCAAAGGAAAATGAAATTATTAAAATATTTTTACATTTTGTAAGTATGGTTCGCGGACCACTTGACAATGTCTCGCGGACCATTAGTGGTCCGCGGACCATAGGTTGGGAGCCTATGAATTATTCTAATAACAAAATAAAATAAATGAATTAGTCCCGATAATTGATATTATCTTACTTCATTTCTGGACGCATTGAAACTTGTTTTCTTTCGAATTGATCATGCCTGTCACTTTTTTTCCAAAAATAATAAAAATGAACCAACTCTGCTACTGATCTAGTTTTAACCTTAAATTAAAAATAATAATTAATTTTCAATGTGTATATAATTGTACATTATCATATTATAAAATACTATTATTATGTGTAATAATCTTTCAAAATGTGTTAGTCAGTAAACACCTGTTTTCTGGTCTCAGTTTGGAGACCACTATACTATACATCCACACTATATTCATCAACTTAAGAGTATACTGAGCGGCAGACGAAATCACAATGTGTTCAAGCATGACTTTCCCATTATTGGTTATCATTACCTTAACCCCCACTCACCCACCTATCACTCATCCCCACTATTGCTACCAAACGCGTATGACAACAGCACATAATTGGTAACAATTGTTTACGACTGTACAACAACAGCATATGATTGGAGACGATTCATGACCAATTAATCAAGGGGTCTGGAAACATACAGAAATCCGTCTCATGTTTTCAATTAAAATTCTACTCTTGATTTAATATTTCATATTTATTCGTCACTCAATAATTATTATTATTAAGATTGAAAACTTCCAGTACTAAAAACCCTCAAAATATGTATACACTAAAACAACAAAAAATAAGCATTTGAAATATACTCTAAAAAAATGTTATGTACAAAATAAGGTACCTAAATTACAATACATACATATGAAAAAAAATTTCAGTTTTAATTAATTAATAAAAGCTTGGAAAATAAATTGTAAGACAATCAAACAATCTTATCTTTAAGACATACATTTAAATAACCCGCGCCTTTAATTAAAATTTTAGTTATGATACATCAAAATTTTCAAAAAAATTATTTACTTAAAATGTACAATATACAAGGGATTCTTTTAAATTTAATTAAATTAATTAAATTGAATTAATTTGAAAAACAGAAGTTTTTACTCCCTGAGGACTCTTTGAGTAGAGTAAAAAGTACCAAGAATTATATGTAAGTTTGTAATTAAAAATTTTAAAATCAGATAATAAATAACTGCATTATAAAAGTAAAAAGGAAGGTTAGGTTTTACTTAATTAATAGCCCCACACAAAATAAATTGCTTTCTTAAATAGCCATAACCAATATTGAAATAAATACAATTTTTAAATTACCTCTTTTTGTATGGCATGGAAATTCTTTCCACTTATTAGTAATCCCATCTCAAACTTCAATGTTTCATCTTCTGACCAGACACTTAATGATTTCTCCAAAGGTACTACATTTAATGACATTCTTCTGAGAGCTTCAGCCACATCATGACCACACTGAACTAACAAGTAAAGTGCCTGCCAATAAAAATATAAATTAATTTATAATAAAAATATAAATATTATGAATTATTTAGTTATTACAAAGGTTTGAGTTTGTACATTTGTACACACTAAATATTAAAAGCTTCAAATAATATGGCTTAGGCATGGAAAACCTAAAAATATGTGCACACAAATATAATTGTTATGCCCTTTTACATAATATTGCACCGTAATTTTTTATTAATATTGACTTTTGGTTAAAATTTGAACAGATAAATTAAAACACTGTTTATCATGGACATAAAATTGACAACTAGAGTACAATTAAAAAAAAAGTAAGTGCTTATGAAAATAATACAGTCTTAGTAGTCTTTTTAAAAACATTACTCAATACATGTTACAGCTACTATTACAAACCATTTCTATGGTAAAAATGATAAGCTAGTTTTTGATATTTGTGGAATTCAAATAAGTGACCATAATTATTTTAACATAAATTAAACAATATTTAAGTTTAAAGCAGTATTTTTTAGTGAAAATATATTTTTTCTTTAGTTTAACCACAAGTATAACACTCAAGAAACAATAAAACAAAATAATTAAAATTTTTGAAAAACATATTAATAATGCCAACAAAACCAAAAAACAATATCCTTTATTATACACATTTATAAATGAAGAATTTGTATGTTAACCATTTTTAAAAAAATCTTATTTAATATGAACAAAGACAACGCACAAAAAACTACTTTTCTATAAAATGGAGTTTGTTTATGTCTACAACAGTGGTATCTAATATCTATTTAATTTGATCATATTCTTTTTTTTGCTAAAACTAAATTGTATACTTTTAAAAAATGTGTGTCGTGAGTTAAGCTTCTTGTACAGCTTTATCAAGAAAAAAAAATAGAAAAACATATGAACATATAATATTGTATGTGAAGGTACTTTACACACAACCTTCATTTTCTTTTGTAGGTAAAAGTGACAAGAAGTTGCACATTGAAAAATATGAAAATGAATAAAAAAGAGAAAAGTTATTAAGTTAATGTTCACATGCAAATGCATTATTTACTATAAAAATTAAGGAATATTAATGAAACTGAAAGTTTACTGAATAATAAAATAAAATGATTTCAATTTGTAGGTAGTTTAAATATTTCTGATAAATGGCAAACTAAACTTTTGACATTTTAAAATAATTATGTAAATTCCTAACTTCATTAACTGTGTACCAATCCTAGAATATTTTTGAATTAGTTCGGTTATGCCACAATCATAAGCAGTGTAAATATTGAGATGTCTCAGTCTGCCAACATACACCAATATCATAAATTTAGAGATTAAATTTAAAAGGTTACAGTGTATGCTTATTTCAATTTATTTTTGGCTAAGCGGAATAAATATATAATATATATTTTGTATTAAAAAATGTATTACTAACCCCAAAAAACATAATTGCACAATTGTAGATCAGTGATATCATGCTGTATCAGTGATACAAAATAAAGTAAAAAGCCATTGGAATATTTACTAAGTTTTTTTTAAAAATTAAATTGTTTTTATTTTTTAAGTTATATAAAACTTTTAAGTTAATAATTACTTTTTCATTATCACGAATACCAACAACTTTAGATTTTGGCTTTAATGCCTTTGTAATTTGCTGGATTTTCGTCAAATAATCTTCAATTAAATCTTCACCCAATACATTTGGATCCCATAACAGTTCATCATTATTTTCATAAGGCATTACATCACCATATGTCGATAACCCATCTGTTACTAGAGCTTGAAAATTTACTCCAACATTAACGCTCTAAAAACACAACATACATTATAAAATACATCTTTTTAATAAGGACACTATCAACTTTATCAAACCTTCCAATGAAGTTCCCAATGAGGCCTATAGTCTTCATCTTCATCTTCACTTTGTACTTGGTCTGAAAAAAAATAAAGTTAAAGTATAAGCATTTTAAACAGGTGCAACTAATAGTTTCAAGACAAAAACAGTGAATTGGGTTCTTAAATGTTATTCAATTTTAAATAATAAAAGCTTCTACAGCAGAAAAAAACGGTTCTAACAAACAGATTAATTTAAACATTTTATTATTTTTAACGATAACACCTATATATCTAATGTACATAGTATATTTATAATATTTAATGTTTTGTAAAATGAATTATAAATAATTTATTATCAATTAGATAGCAACTTTCTACCAAAATAGTAAATAAACTAAGAATTTAAATTATTAATAGTTTAACTCACCAAGTTCTGCCATGTATAAGTCTAATAATTTTGATGCTTCATCACACTCTTTACCATCCTTAACACTTTCATTTTCCTAAAATGAATAAAACAATAGGGTAACACAATGTTTTGATTTTCAAAATTCAATGTTTTATTATATTTAAGATAATACAAAACATATAAAAACTACTTTTTGCTGAACATTTCTACGGATTATCTAAAATGTGTAATATAATTGATAAGAGAATATCATGTTATTTCTTCAATTTTGCAAACATGAAGTATAAATTAATTTTTAAGTATTTTATTTTTCCAAAAGTATGCAATACTTTTAGTTATCCGATGCGAAATAAATTTCATTTAGATATAATTTAGAACAATATTACTTACATTCACTTATTAAAAACTTTAAATTAATATTAAGATAATGTTACCAAAATATATATTTTTTTTTTGCCAAATAATTATGATGCGAATGATTTATCTATATTTTTACACATAGAAAATATAACTTCATATATAATATGACTTTTTGCACATTCCCCGAGTTAATAAAAAGATAGAGTACAAATAAAAATACTTAAAATATTTTGACACTACAATAAATTAATATAATACAAAAATAGCCTCTACCATGTATCATTTCATAACATTTAATACTTTTATTAAAAAAAAAATACCTTTGATGTTTCTTCTGACATTTTATTTGATGAATCACCAGTGTTTTCTTCAACTAATCTTCGTCTATCAGTTGATTTGGATTTTTTTTCTAAAAAAAAATTGATTAATGGTGAATAATATTTTTAAATTATTAAAATTAATTTTAAGAAACATATTTTTTATTATTATAAGTGCCCAGAATTGTAAGCGTTTGTATATTTTTATATATTAGTTTAAAAAGCAGTTATGTTTGAAATAATTTTTAATCATGGCCTAAAAAGTTGGCGGAAACATACCTAAAATTTTTTTTATTTTTGTTTTCTTCTTATTTTAGCATTTTGATAAAATTGAATGTGTATTAAATGAAGAAAATATATTTTGTTTGCACTATTTATAGTCACATTCCAATTATTTTTATTTTTATTTCCATCAATGTATTGACTGTTCATTGTTGACATTTCAACTAACTGTCAATACTCAATTGATAACTGTTTTTACTAATAACTTACTATAATAAGATGAAGTTTTCTATAGCGTATTTACCACAATAAACAATTTACATTTATTATATATTTTTAATGCATATAATTGCAGGTCCTAATTATTGTGTATGAATAAAGTAAAATTATATTTTATCAGTACTTAAGAATACTTGTCAAATTTTGTTTCACTCAAATACAATATACAAAATCTATGTTAATGAAAAGTATACCAGACAAATTATTGTTAGGTATGTAGTATCGATTATCAAGCAACATTATTTAATATGTTGGTCTTACCTGCGACGCCATCAGATGAAGTTGAAAGCTTTTTCTAACATAAAATTATAATTAATATATAAAATAAAAAAACAAGGTCCATAAAAAATTTACAATTTTACCTTTCTTTTTTTATCTTTACTTTTCTTTGAAGAGCTTTTCTTTTTCTTTTTCTTTTTTTTTTTTGTACTGGTTTCCGGGAGAGTACTTTTTGAATATCCATACATAACCATAAGTTCATGAATAGGCATGTTACTCTCCTATAAAAAAAAGTAGATAATAACTTATATAACAAATATCTAACAACTAGAGACCACAATAATAATACAATTATATTAATGTTATTAGAGTTATACTATAAGTATATTACTTCTTCTAAAAATCTTATTTCTCTTAAAGGATCTTCCAATTCCGGAAGTGCTTCTTCTTCTTCCATCGTTGTTTCATCATCAGCTTCATCTACTTGTTCATAATCTTTATCTTTACTTGAATCATCAAGAGGTAGTTCCACATTATCTTCTATTTTATCAATATTATCATCTAAAAAAAATACAGGTATGAACAAGTGTTTAAAAATCCATTTATTATTTAGCAATAAAATTAATTACTTATTGATTGAGATTCTTCAAGTTTAACAACAACCTATAAAATGAAACATTTATTAACATAGATATTAAGTTATGGTGTACAATATACATTGATAAAATAATTATAAACATGTTAAATTTATTAGAAGTATGTTTTTAAGCTGAAGGCTTATTGATGATTCCCTTTAACTAAAGAAGCAATAAATGTTTTTCTACAATGATATGTTAAAGACTCTTTATTATTCTTATATAGATGATTAAACCTTGTTAAATAATTTAAAAAATCTTTTTGAACACGTCAATTGTCAATTAAGAGCTTTTTTAATACCTAAATTGAATGATTCTATTTTGAATGTTATTAAGGTTAAAATTAAGTATCTACTATTTTTGTCATATTCAACAATGTAAAAACATATTATTATGAATAAAATGTCAATGAAATTATCATAATTTTACACAATACCTATACCTAACTACACAAAAGTATTGAAAATATCTGACATAAGTTGCAGGTATACTAGATGCTATGTGAGATTTAAGAATAACAAAAATTGTTATTGGAGTGGGCAAAAAACAAAAACAAATATTATTATACTGTATAAGCAGAAAAATTATTATCGGAATAGACGTGATATGAGGTTACGAAAAAATTAACTCTTATTATTATTATAATTTATAAGGTAACAATGGATCGAGTGAGCAAAATGTTTAATCGGCAGTAATCTGGTTGAGTGTGTGCAGGACCTATCTAGCGCAGAGGTTTTATTCACTCGTATCGGTGTCGGGCACTACCCCAAACAATCTCGCAGGGACCTGTTGATAGTCACAAACCACACCATCATTGGTGGGTGAGGTAGAGTGTAGTATTCCCACCGAAAAGATTTTGATCAGACAACCACCAGACTCGGCGAGCACAGACTTGTGATACCTCATGTTTGTGCATTTTCTTCTACTTCGTGTAACCTCGTCCTCACAACCGTCTTCCTCAAATCACCGTAAACACTCGCACCAACATGGGTGACAGTGATCGGCGCGAGTACCATTAGATCCGCCGCCGGACGGGTAACACAACAACGCGACTGAACAAATGCGACCCACCCACCCCCCTTCAACGATCATTATCGATATGGTTGTTGTGTTATTATATTATTAAACGTTTACAGTAACGATAGTTGGACATTGCTTACCTCGTCGTCGGCCATGGCGGTTCAGGCAGAGGTTCAGGCCGGCGGATCGGGATTGCGTCAGCCGCGGCGCAGTGCCCGTTGGAAGGCGTAAACAAACAAATAAACAAAAGGACGGCGGCCCAACTAACAACGGTGGTCGGAGGACGTCATTGTGGCGGTGGCGGCTGCTGCTTAGCGCTTGTACACAGGGTACCAATATTGCGAGCGGCGTCGAACGCCGAGTGTCTGACACTGTCGACTGGCGAATGACTGGCGGTTGGCGCGCTGTCGTCCGGGCGACCGAATATCGTACTGCGGAGTAGTTAGTTTGCCTGATCGTCGTCGTCGTCGAATGGCGGTCAAAACGCTACGATGATAACGCGGCGGCGGCGGCGGCGGCGGCGTTGTACGAGTGGGTGATAACGTCATCCGGTCGTCGTCGTCGTCCTTGTTGTTGATGTTGTTGTTGCCGTCGCCGTCGCCGTCGCCGTCGTTTGCGTTTTCCCCTCCGCCGCGCCGAAATTATAACCCGTCCAGCAGAGCTGCAGCTGCCGTTTTACCGGCTTGGCGGGACGAGGACGGCCGATCCGTTGCCGCCGATGGTTCCCAAAATCTCGGCAAACTGCCGTGAGCGGTTGTATAACGTGATCATGTAATATAAGCAACATGTGTTGTATTCAGCAGTAGTACAGTGTGTCAGTGTACCTACAACTGCATTTGATCTCTTTGTGCTCAAACAAAATCCCTGACACTAGCGAAAAGACTATCAGGAATACAATACCTATATTTTATTATTTATACATTTTAATGTAATAGATACACACACAGCAGTAGTTTTTCAATCAAAGTATTCGAATAAATATTTTCAAACGTTGCGAATAATTATTACAGCATTATTAATAGGTATTTAATAACACGTATATAGGTATTTAATTAAGAAGTATTTAAAGAAGAAGGATAATTATTCCAAGCTGGACAATTATATTGAAAACCAAGTGATATGTAATCAGTATTTAATTAAAATTAAAAAATCAGTAAAAGTTAATTTAACCAGTAAATTTTCGTGGTAGGAAAGCGAATCTAGTTGGTTATATTCTGGATTTCAAAATTTAAAATTCCCAATAGTTTTCAAAAGCAACAGGAAAAACAAACAAAAATACTAGGAAAAACGAGAATTTTTACGCAAAACCAGTTTTCGAAAAAATCGATATGGTTTTTAGTGTAACTCTTGAAAAAATAACCTTAGATACATGAAATTTTCACTGAATATTGGTGTTCGCATTTTCTATACCCGTACAATTTTCAAAATATTTTGAATTCCGTTGAACTATTTATAGGCATATGAAATTTTCGATTATTATTTGTTTTTTTTAAACTAATGTCTATAAAAAATGTTTCGCTCGATCAAAAAACTTTCAAATATAATATAAGGTTCCTCGTAAGTTGTTGTTAGTTCAAATTAAAAAAAAATTAAAGCGGAAATCCACAATAATTTTTTTGAACTTAAAATTTTGACGAAACTCGTAAAAATTACTTAAATTAGTAATTTTTTTTTAGTAAGAAATTCATATAAATATTTCTTTTTATATCTAAGATTTAAAAATTGAATACAAGATTCCTTATAAGTTTGTCTAAATTTATCAAAAGAAAATTTCCACTCGAGAGTCAAATTACATTTTGATGAGCTTTTGAAGTTGACACCCTTACAACATTGGATATTCAGTCGATTTTTCGTGTAGTGACTTCCTTAATTTTGTTGTAATTCAAAAACTAATTACTTTAGATACTTGAAATTTACACCATATGTTCATTTCATCAATTTATATACTTGATACAAATTTTAAAATATTTTGACTAGTTTTAAACTGTTGACGGACATTTTCAATTTTCATTTTTTTTTTCTACAAATGTCAATAAAATTTTAGTAATTGGGTCAAAAATCATAAAAATTTAATACAAGACTCTTGGTATATTATTACTACCATAGCAGTTGAAAAACATTAAAAATATGTAAGCACGATTTTTTTTATAAGTATTTAAAGTTCATATCTTGACAGTTGACAATATTTATCATATGGAATATTGAAAATGATTTTGTAGTTTTGTAAATTTTAAAAATTTTAAATTTTTATAGGTAAGGATTGAAAATTTAAAAGAAGATTCCACTTAACCAGTTTTTTCCGTAATTAAGAAATCTAAAATATATAAAAATACAGTTATTTTTAACAGACATTTTAATTTCCAATTTGGACAAAATTACATATTAACACAAAGAATAAAGTTTGTAATTTTGTTGTATTCGGTTCCAAAGCAGCCCAATTTTACTTTATATTTTTTATATTTTTTCAACAACACTGATAATTTAAGAATAATATTAATTAAACTTATCGGCTACTAATTACTATATTAATACGTTTTTGAATTATGACAAAAAACAAAAGCTAGTTTGTCAAAAAATGGTTTGGGGGAAGTATTCGAGTTTCGATTTCTCAGCAGTTTTTTTTTTTTTTTGCTGTTTTCTCAATCGTTTTGAAAAGTACTGAAAACTACAATTTTCAACTTTTGAACCCCTTTTGAATATTTGTATAGATAATTTGGAATTAAGAATACTTAAGTTTGTTGTAAACAAAAGAAGGAAACTCACCATAATAATGAAATAATTAAACGAGAAATAAAAAACTCATTATTACAACACCTAAAAACGACAAATATTACTACTTCTAAATGTATTCTAAATAAAAACTAGATAGTACCTTTTATAGGTAATAACTCTGGATGAATCTTCCACTTTAGGTTGGTGCCTACGTTTTATAATATTCGTGTCTAAGTAAAAATTAAAACACAATATTAGACATGATATGGTGAAATGTGCGTGCTCGAAATTTCGAATTCAAGCTAGCATAATATTATATTTTATATGAATCTTAAATGTGACCCAATACCCATGAGTAATGAGTAACTCGTAATGAATATCGCAATAATAATTCGGGGAAGCCCCGAACACTTACGATCGCATTTGCAATTTATTATAATATGCACTATACAACACTATAGCAAACCCTCATGAATAAAATATAGGTATTGCCTATCAACTCTATAAGAAATAATCGCTTCCCATTATTTTTGTTTACCATTTGACACGGGTAGTATTGATCAACAAAAAATTGAAACCTGAAATTTAAACTTGATGGTAAGAATAATATTATGATAGTATATAATAACAAGATCTGATAGTTTTTTTTTTTTTAGTGTCTGTATATACATGTGCAATATCTAATCACTAATCAGTAATCATTGATAATGCTTATTGCTGAATTGCTTCACAATATGTTATATATTTGTATTAATTTACCGTAGTTCTATACATATTATAATGTATAGAACACTGTTATTTTATTGTTTTCATAAAAAAAATGTGTGATTATAAAGAATAAAATGATAGGTGTAAATATGTAATAAAATATTATACATTTCAGGCAGATGCGAACCAAAGCATATGCTATCAAACACTATATTACTATACTAACATTATACTAACTGTATAATAATATAATACAGACGGCTGCAAATCAAAAGTATGCCGCCAAACAATAATATTCATTATAATTTATTAACTTATATTAAATTATAATAATATTATAAGATTATATACTATAATTTACTTTATACAGTTATACCTACAATGTAAAACTAAACTTAAATTTCAACAAAAATAAAGAGCAATATATTATGAGATTATGATTTCATTCTTTTGTTGTGAATAAAAAATAAAGAACCATATAGAAATTTAATATTTTCACCAAATATTTATATTATAATATTTTAGAAAAAATTTTGGCATTCCGTGTACTATCATCTTATAATAGGGATTTGAAATGTTCAACATTATTAAAAACAATTTAATTTTTTTATGTACCTCCTTTATGCCCGTATGCACAGTCAATTTATGTGACGCATAGTACTTATTATTTGTTATTTATGTGATTGATAACAATGTCACGTTGCATAGTCATTTTGATGGGAGGATTCGATTATTAAGGGACACATAAAGTAATGTGGTTAATTTCCACCACATAAACCATTATGTGATACATTTGTGTTCAGCTTATTTGCAATGCTACAACAATTAAGTACCAACCACTTAACAATTTATAATAATTTTTAATATTATTTATTATAAGCTTGATATAATTCAATACATTATTTCATATAATTGTTGTTCTCGTAGAAATTACATGTGTTGAAATGACATAGTTACAATATTTTTTATGAGCATTTAGTTATAAACTTATGGTTCAAATTTTAAGAAAACCAAATAGGCTAATAATAACTATTTCTTCTAAGACGATTTTTATTTTTTTATTAAAAATCAAAAAGTATTAATATTATGAATTTGAAACTATTCTTATTTTATTTACAAAATAAATGTTTGAAAAATGGTACGAAATATTGATTATTGACCTATAAAATAAGTTAATAATAATAATATAAAATATTATTAATATTATTAATATTAATAATATAAAATATTATTAATATTATTAATATTTTATATTATTGTAGGTATTACATTATTTTTTCTTAAATTTATTTATTATAAATTCAACGGATAAAACATAAATTAACAATATGTATAAACAACAAAACATACATACAAGGGTATTGAAAAATTACAAGATTACATAAAATATAATGCATTTTTACAAGATAAATAAAAAATACATTGATGATAATTGTGATTTCTAAAAATAACTAATTTTAAAAGTTATATACCTAGATCAATTTCTAATTAACAGATTTGAGGTCAATTATACATAGATAAATTATTAAGTAAAGTTAAAGCATTATACGCGGCATACTAAAAAAATCAAGAGTTGTAGAAATAGTATTGGCTAAAAGAAAAGCTCTATGAAGGAATGAGTTTGGACCAGTGTTTGTTTTATATAACGGCACCATAAATAAATCAATATTAGGAGTGTGTTTACGAAGAATTCTGAAATTTATTACATACCTAAAGCTAAGATCTCGGGGCAGATAGCAAAACCATTTAAAATATCAAAAATGAACATCATATCAGCTAATTTACATCTTATATCAACATTGTGAATTCCTATACATTCTAGAAAGGATTTTAGGGAATATTTGTATGTAAAGAAAAATCTGAAGCATGGGCTATTTAAAAAAAACTTATATTTGATGTTGTCTAAATCATTATTGTAATTATTATTTACTATCAAATTATTATTATAATTTATAACAATTATCACTTGTATCATAAATAAGTTCAACAACTTCAACATAGGTGTTACAAATTGCAATAACTGAAAAATAAATTATAAAATATCC